AGAGAATACTCACTGAACATTCCTTATCAAGCTTAAAAGTCAATAAACATACTTGGTTACCATTAATTATATTTTTTCTATAAAGTTCTTTACCTGACATAATTACTGGTAAACACCTTGCTTCTCAGCGCAGCTTTTCTTTCTCAATATAATTGAAGTGCTCCAAATATAACCAAACACTAGTGGACCTTCCTATTCCTTCCTGATAATATATTAGTGTAAATATTAAAATTTTCAAAGGTATTTTAATTTTAGATTAATTAAATCAATTTACATATTACACAATATAACCTATAATGATAATAAAAAATAATATTAATATAAATAATCATGAATGTAAGGGTAGTAATAAGAACTATATTAATAATGTAATAATAATAATTATAATAATAATAATAATTATAATAATAATAATAATAGTAACAATAATAACAATAATAATAGTAATAATAATAACAATAATAATAATAATAATAATAATAACAATAACAATAATATATAAAACATAATATGAATAATGATAAAAAAATAACTAGATTTGAACTCGTCACTGAGGACGAGTTTGGCGATCCGCTTGTCAGGCATAAGACATCTCCCGACGCTTAAAAGTATAATTTATGGAAAAACACCTTAGCCAGTATTGTCAAACTGTGCAGTTCAATATCAAGTCTGCCACCCTCTCTTTGGTCGTCAACGAATTAAAGAAAGAGGTTGGGGGAGGTCAGAAAAACATTCATTTTTACTATGATGACGTCATCAAAGTGAAAAATTAAATTTTTGATTTCAGATGGCAATGTGATGATGTCACAATGTATGATCAGCCATTATGATCTATGAAATCATATCTACAACTTTAAGAACAAGTAATAAAAATTGGGGTCACCATTCATCCTAAGGAGCTATAACTGACTGAAAATAGGCATGATTTTGGCGAAATTTCAGTGTTTGTCTAGAAAAACGCGCACAAGGATGCAATCCTTTGATACGCGCCTACGGCGTTGTTATTGGCACTAAGATGACTGAAAAAATGGAAATTTGTAAATACAGTGTCAGAAACCCAAAACACATGCTCCCAAGTATTGAAATACACGCCATCGTGTGTTGGAATTCGCGCAAGAGTTTTAATAAATAGGCCCACGGAAGGAGCGTGTGTCTACTGCCTGGTATACAGGGGTTGTTGTTTTTGGGTTGGAGATGGTGGGGAGGGGGAGGTGCAGAATTTTAAATGTCCTCATTAGGCTACAGTGATAAGGTCTCTAAGTAACTGCTCAGTTTTATTTACTGACATTTTTGTTGGGTTGTGTTTATACTACAGTAATACTGTAGGTTGTTTGATCCTGATTGTTGAATGTTGACGAGCTGCGGTCTTCTAATTAGGGTATGCAACGTGACCACTCACAATTTTTGATATACCCAATGACTGGGTCGAAATTACCCAAGATTCAGCAAAAATTGCCTAAAATTACCCAAGCTTCCTGAAAGTACATGTTTTTCGCATGAATAGTTTTCCTTTTAGTTCAAAGTATAAACTATTTTTTATTGTAATTGTTTGTGTTAATTAAAATTAATATTAATGAGGTGATAATACGGATAGAACAATACGCCCTCAGTCGGCCAGTATTATCAGTAGATCAGTGATCAAGTTTTATTATGTAATGCATTGATTAGGTAAGATCAATGGCAACGCAAATCACAAATAAACAATTCTGAACCCATGTTTATAGCAATTAACAGTCAATTAACAATGTTATGTGCACTTCGTTGAGTTTTGCTTACTTGAATGGACTGAAATATACTTTGTTAATTCTTAATTCTTCCTCAATGACAAAAATAAATTATTTTCTTAATCTTAGTAAAAATAAAATACCCAAGGATTTGAACGGAATACCTAAGAACCTAAGACCAAGTCAAAATACCCAGTATCTTGGGTAAATACCCAAGCAGTGGTCACGTTAAGGGTATGTTTGTCTTGCAGTACCACTGTAATGGGCCTTTTTAAACAGCCCATTTTTTTTTTAATTGGAGCAAAAAAATACAGTACATTTGCCTTTTTTTAAATTGCTTATTGCTTGAGTGAGGGAATGTTTTTATTAGGCAACAATATTGTAAATACTGTATTGTACAAAACTGGTTGAATTCTATCGGTATATAAAGATAGTGTATTTCGAGAACTTAGCACGTTCTTTATGCTGTTAAAATAAGTGATGTGGAAAATGATTTATTTTCGAAATTTCCGCATCAATACAGTATTTCCTAAATTGTTGAAGCGGGCGGGAGTGATGATAACAATTTGTTATATGTACCCTTAAATAATTGTTATTAATCATAATGATATTACTTCAGTGGAATATATATTTTCATTTTATTATATTTGTTTTGAGAAAACATTGTTTAAAATGTATTATACAGTGGCGGACAGTCAAGGCAAGCAAGGCATGCAGTGCATACCCTAGCTAAAACAAATAAGAAAATATAGAAGTACAGTTTCTGCTTTTGATTTAGCATTTCTTAGCCACAACCTTCTATATAAACCTTGATTTTTCGAGTGCATTGCTGTAGTTTATTGGAAAAGCGAAGTTTTTCAATGTTTGGCCTGCTTTGGTATCTAGGATAAGTCACATTCGGGCCTATCGCATCGTAGGCCTACTCTCAGCTGCTTAGAATTTCCGCATGGCTGGTTTCATTATCAACCAATCATGTATTCATTGAGTCGATGGAAGTCAGATCATCCCTACAACAAATTTGCTATTGTGACAACTGTGTGGTCGCGTCAGAATAGCCAAATTTAACACTGGAATGGAAGCAGTGCTTCCAAGAGTATGTCCGCATGCTCTTCTCGCAAATCAGGACCTTCCTGCCGATCAGGTATTCTATCTATATGCCTAATCTCAATGATTAAAGTTAAAATAAATTTGCATGCATATAACCGGTATAGAAGAAACTTTGAATTATTATTTGAATTGAAATATGTTCAAAATAGAGGAATAGGAATTATTTTGAAAAGAAGATACTACAACCATGTCGGTAATAAAAATAACGTACATTTGTATTTTGGCTATAGCGCAATCTGATCCTGTATAGTAGTAGGCTTACAAACTTTTCCTACTAAAGATACAGATTAATTTTTATTGTTCAATAATTTAGTAAATTACATTGCTCACTTGCTATATAATTAATTATCTTCTTGGATACTTTAAATTACACTCCCTTATCCCAGCTAGTAAACTACTTGTAACGCTCCGTGTCATTCTACCATTTCTGCCTATGCGGGAACCGATCATATTGGCCTACGCGTGGAGCGGATGGATGTTATCCTCTAGGATATTTTTAAAAACAATGGCAAGTCGTTCGTGGTAATATGAGTCCAGTGACTGCACAGGCGAACCAGTAACTTTCCCTACTCTACCCAGCACCCTTCCTATTCTCTCTTAATCCCCTTTACTAATATTCCCAGCCCACCCTAACATACAATACCCCCAAACAGAAAACATCACCGATACGTAGAACACCAAACATAATGTCCTGCTTAACATCAAAAGAACCTAGTTTTCTAAGACAATAGAGTCTACTATTTAATTTCTTAACTACAAAATCAAAATGATCCCTCCAACAAAGTTTATTGTCAAACACCACCCCTAGATACTTATAAGAATCTACAATCTCAACTTATTGACCAATAATGTTTACTTTATTCGGAACAGTTCTGTTATTCTGCCTGAAATCAATGTGCATTTATTTTGTCTTATTTATGTTTAATCCAAGAAAATTAGTTTCACAATACTCAGTGAGTCTAAAAATTAAAAACAAACGAAATTAATACACTTGGAACATTCAAATCAAATAACTTACTTATAAGAATATGAGGCTGAATTGTATTAAATGCCGAACTAAAGTCAAAGTACGTGATCTCACACATAGATTAGTTTTTCCAGTCATCTAAGTGACAATAAATTCCCTGAAGTTTATGCAGTATTGCATCTCCAGCATTCCTATTAGTACAGTAGGCAAACTGGAGAGGATCAAGATGATCTGAAACTGTTAGCTTTAAAATATCAGTACATTTTTTTTTCAAATACTATCATAGGTACCGACGTCAATGCAACCGGTCTAAGATCGTTATAGCAGCTAATAGGGCGTCTTTTAGGAACTGGGATTAGACATGATGTTTTCCACGCTAGCGGAAGTACATGAGAAAAGCAAACAAAATTAAAGATATAGGTAAAGATGTGCGAAAGCTGACAACCACGAACTATATACATCAGTGGCATGGGGTCTTGAAATGGAAGGGAGTTGATGTGGTGGGAAGGTAAAGTGGGGATCGGTGATTAGGTAAGGGGTTGGGGCTAACTCGCAAAATAATGTGATTTGAGGTGGTTTTTAACTACTTGAGCATGATTTGTGGGCGGTGGATGGGCGCGTATTTTTTTCAGGTTTGAGGGGCGTGTGCGACCCTCGCACATCCTAGATATGCCAATACATAGCATACACTGCAATTTATTCTACGGTCCGCCATTGGTATTATAATATACAAGCAAATTGTTGTCTGCTCGACTGTATGTGAAATTGTAATGAATTTATTTGACCTGAATGTTATTATGATGAATATTGGTCATACAGTAGTGTCAGCAATAAAGTAAGTATGGTACGTCACAACATGATCTGGTGTCTTGCCATAGTACAGAGAACCGTCATTTCCGGAATCTGATTTTCTTGGTTGCTTGACTTGAAGAGACGTGTTATTGAAATATATATATTATGTTATTGAAATACTGTAAGAGGAGAGTGAGAAATGATGCAGCTGTCCACCATAATGCTTTTGTAGTGTAATTAACTTGCATTATTTGAAAGAGTGTGGTGCAAAGAATTGTAGAAGCACTTGATTATGAATAAAGTAAAGAGGAATGTTGTATATGTCATGCACTGTTCTGATGTAGCTAATCATCTGGTTCATGATGATGGATGGCAGCAATTTAAGGAAAATAAAGCAGGCATCACGAGATCATAATAATGTACAGAACACATTTTGCAACGTAATAAAACATAAGGGACGCTCATGAGTTCGATAACTGTATTGTTTATTAAAATGACAGCTAAACCGAAGGTTAACACACAACATATATAGAATGAAAATTTAACAAAAACGATATGGTGGCTAAACGAATATTACATGTAAA